CTTGGCCTGCTGTGTTCATCCAGCTCTACACCTTGTTATCCCATCTTTTAACCTATCATGTTTGTACAAAGTATTTTGAAAGCACTTTCCTCATTCCCCACACGTTGGAAATTTCCTTACTTTGAGTATTTCTCCAGTTTGTTTTAAAAATTTCATTCATGTCAACTTTGAAAAAATAGATAATTTAGGGAAATTGCTGTGATTGCAGTAGCAACTACAGAACTAGTTCTGTAAAATGGAGTGACAGTCACCCAGAATTCACCATAGTATAGCCCACGATTTTCAACTTCACAATGAAATCAATGAATAATCATCACATACATGTGATTTTTAGTGATTACTTTCCCAATTAATTCCTAGTATTTATAGAATTCACTGTCAGGACAAAGTTTTTCAAATGTCTGGTATGTATGTCTTATAACTATGCCATTTGGAAATCATGAAGGTTTCAGAACAGGGCAGAAGGTGGCAGAGTGGTACTGTTATTGAGGTTTTTGCAAAGATTTGTAGCTCGGGTTGTGGGTGAGGTTGCTGACTTGCTCACCAAGATGGTTTGTTTTCATTCAGACATTTCATCACCATGCTAGGTAACATCATCAGAGGGGCCTCCGATGAAGCAATGTTGTTCTACTCCCCTTGGAATTTATACTACCATTATGTTGAGTAGTGCCATTTCCAGTTTTGACACTACTCACCATAACGGATAGGACAGTATCCATTCCAAGTGGAGTAGAACAACATTGTCTCATTGGAGGCCTCACTGATGATATTACTTAGAATTCTGGCGAAACTTCTGAACAAAAACAAACCAGCTCGGCGAGCAAGTCAACAATCGTACCGTTATTAAACTAGTGATCCAGAGACTCAGGCTATTACTCTAGGGATATGGGTTTGATTCTTAACATGGTGGATGGTGAAATTTGAATTTGCTTGATAAAAATGTAGAATTAAAAGCTAGTTTAATGGTGACCATGAGACCATTTGTTGCTTGTCATAAAACCTGTAAGACTCTCTAATGTCCTTTTGGGATGGAAAGTTTGTCATCCTCACGTGCTCTGGCCCACAGGTGACTCTAGATCCACAGCTATGTGGTTGACTCTTAATTAATCCAGAAAATGGAACAATCAGTCATGCAGTCATATCAAAACTAAAAGGAATGAAACCAGATAAACAATGTCAGGTAGTCTAAGACACTGGAAATAAGAGCACACACTACCCCACCAACCCTGTAAAGTCATCCTTAATATCTGAAGGCTTACATCAGAATTGGAAGTGCTGTTCCAGACTGGTCAACCTACAGCCTGACATTGTCAGTAAGACATGATTCCATGTTCTGTGATTTGATGGTGCCAGAAACCATCTGCCCTATTCGATAGGACAGCCACCTGAGATGGCAGCACTAGGGCGGGAATTGTATTGTAACAAACCACCAAGGCTCCTGAGACAATACCTTCCAAATCTAACTTTTGCCACATAGAAGGACAAGGGCAGCAGGTGCATAGAAACACCGTCACAAGCACTTTCTGCTCCAAATAACACGTCATGCTGACTTGTAACTATACCAGTGTCATTGGTGCAAAATCCCAGAACTCCATCTTGAACAACACTGCACATGTACTTGCAACGATCCAAGAGGACAGCTAACTAGTAGTTGAAGTTGGGCAAAATTGAAGCTAGCCAGCAATGATTTTTTTTTTTTTTAAATGATCCCAGCACACCCTGGAGAAATGCCCTTGTATATTAATATACCATATTGTCTAATAAAAGCAAGTATACTTTATGCCTTCTCAACCACTTTATCCACCTATCCTGATACCATAAAGGTGTGTGCTGCTCATGTGCACCAAGGTCCCTCTGATCCTTTGTGCTTCTCAGGGTCTTAACATTCATCATGTACTCATCATGTTTGTTTATCCTGTCCAAGTGCATCATGTCACATTTATTAACATTCATATTCTTTTAGCTAGGCATGGTAAATTATGAAGTGTTTTAATAATTACCAGGGCTCAGTTATGCACCAATACAAAAAGCTTTTTCGTTTCAGTTACCAGGCCTCTTCAAAAGCAGATGATGTCGACTATGTCAGATCAAATCCTGTGGACAGTGAGGTAAGATGTACATGAAGCAAAGTTAAAAGTTGTTGGCAGACAAGGGGACTTGATGTACGAGGGCAACCTCATTCAATTCAGATATTTGAAAACAGCATATTCAGAATCTTAATCCTAAGGTTCTAATGATTATAGATCCTCTGGTGTGCCACGCATTCTTGTTTAATGAAACAGTATTGCCATGTTTAAGAGTTCAAGGACCTGAACTCCATAAAATGGAGTGAGCCTCTGGCCTATGAAAATTTTTGTACAGTTGTATGACTGATTTTTGTACACACTGCTGTGTAACTTGCACCATTCCTCATTACAGGGAGATTTCCGACATAAATCATCCTTTGTTATCTGAAAAGGGAGAAGATCAGAGAAGTGAAGACAACAGATGCGCTTTGTAAAGGAACTCAAACGTGTAGTGAATTTAAATATTTGTTATGTATGGATCACAAATCTATAAAGCTAATATCCAGAGACTTGTAACAAAATGACTCTCATTGCCAAAGCTGTTGACCACTGTTTTCTACCACTAAATATTTTTCATTTAATTTGCATTTTTGATGTCAGAAGTTGTCTTGGTACTGGTAAGGAGGTCCCCTAATTGCCTGCTGTTGCATTACAAGGCTAAAAGCCCTAACATCAGGTTCTGAAAAAAAAACTTGCACAATTAAGGGCCAAGAACTAGTAAACATCAATTAAATCAAATTTAGTCAGACCAATTGATTATTTTTTGAGAATGTGTATTTTCCTGTAATTGGTTCAAGGTTTTGATCTCTCAAATGGATTTAAAAATCATCAGGACTGCCTGCGAAGAATGTCTAAGTTGATGAGTACTTTTTTTCTGTTGAGATCTCTCCAGATCCTGTATTCATTTGAAATGAGAGTTTATTACATGGAAAGTTGTACAGAATATGCAAATATGATTTGAAATAATGTTAATTCATTCATCTGGAGCTCTGTAGTTTTACCTCAACCTATGACAAGAAAACTGCCATGAAATTACTCTTCAAGGAAAAGAAAATAGAAGTCTTAAGGATATCACTGATAGAATAAGAGTTTCAACGATTGAAGTGTTCAGTCCTTGTTCCATTGAGTTGCTTTTCTTCTGGTTAAATATTAAACTAACGAAATTCTTTGGATTTTTTTGCTTCAAACCAACCAATTGCCTACTTTAATAAACTCTAAGTCAAGAAAGCAGCCATTAAATATTGAAGAAAGGATATTAAACAGTATTGAAAAATGCCAACATTTAAATCAACACTAGATTTTTTTCATCAAATGTAGAAACTCAAATGACTAAGTAGAATGGTAAACAAAAACCTTTTTGGAATTCAGGAACCAAGTGAATTTTCACAATTGTAATATTCCCACCTTGACCCAAAAAAGCACAAAGTTCAGGCCAGTGTTATTTATCAGGAATTTTTACTATCTAGCCACTCGATTAGTAGCTAACTAATTTTCAGTTTTGAAGACACAATCAAGGAGGTGATCTTTAGCTATCCTTTGAATTCAAAGTTTTGAATCACTTGTCACAAGTTTTGCCTCTATTAATCTCAACTCAAGGGCATTAAGCTTGTTAGATTTTCAAATTAAATACCACTTTGAACCTTTACAGTTCATTAACAACTACAGATCAATTAAGCAGTAGTTTGAATTCCTACAAAATAGGGAAAAGGGTTGCTTCTCAAAAATGTACTATATTTAGCAGTCTTTGCTATATAATACAAACCAAGCATTATAAAGCAAGGCCCACATTTATATTTCACTTTGACAACCAATAAGTGTCATCTTTTATTATGTAGGAAGTTTGTGGGCAGTTAAGATTCCATACAAAAATTGAGAAATCAATTTTGTAGTGTTAGGCAATTGATACATTTTGGTCAGGACTAGGAGACCTCATGTGTTTCTTTGAATATTGTCACAAGATCTTCAATATTTACGTGGATCAGCAGACAGCCTTGGTTCAACCGAACCTTTTGCTGAGAGAATGCTGCACTATCAAAGTGCCAGTCTAAATTGTGAAACTTGAACCAGCACCCTTTTTATTTACTAAAGTCTTTAACACACACACAGTATTATTGATAGAACAAAATGGATCTGGTTGCATCAGAATCCACTGATTACATTTTATAATTTAATATTTCTAAATGATTCTTGTACTTTTTACAAAAATATTATCACTAAACATGTTTCAAAACATTGATTCCTAACGTGTAGTTATTGCACACATTTTTTGTAAAATGATAGTGATGTGTATATTTCAGATGCATTTATATACTACTGCTATTCTGAAAAGAATATTTTGTGTAAAGTTGATCTTTTGGGGGCTAGAGATCATTTAGTGGAATTTAAATCAATTGTGGCATGCTTAGTTCACTTCACTGAAGGTTGAAAGTACAGATGTTGAACTCCATTACAACTAATGTATAAAGGTAGCCCCAAACCAGTTTTATTTTGTCCAGTCCTCCTCGTAAATCCACGGTAGGCTCTGTGCATATGTAGATTATACCCCAACATTCAGCCACTTTGCTCCCCACACCCCTGAGAAGCTGCTTCAGTTTGTGTTCATTTCTTTTTTAAAGCTCAATTGATATTCACTAAATGTGAAACCATCCTCAGTTGTTTCTGTTCAATTTTAACATAGCCAAAAAGAAAACATGCTGCTCCTTCCAAAGGTTTGTTCAATTAGTTTGTTGTTGGCTTTAATCTGTTATAGGTTGGATTAGAAATGCATATCACACTAGCTAAACATATCTGTATGGACTCTAATGTAAAATTTAGTGAATAGAAATATAGGGACATTTTTCTGGATTTCATAATCTAGAGAAAACAGTAACTTTGTATACAATCTAATTTTTGCCTTGCCTAACCTAATGTAATTAAGTGATTTGGTTGCATCAGAAGACAGGGATTGCATTTTTTAGTTCACTACTTTGTAATTTTCAGATTTTGAAAAAAAAAATCACTAAACATTTAAGTGTTTCTTTTTTTTTGTTATTGCACTGAAGTTAGTATGTTTTGTAAAATTACATTATTTTCTCCATGGCCAAGCTATGTGTTCTCATTAACAAGTTGAGGAATAAATGTCACTTTTGGATTGTAATCTTAAGTGGAGTATCTTCTTTAATAGGTATTTTGTACACTATTCCAATATAGAGCTTCATTACACTCAATTATTCATCAAATACAAATATGAAATTGCAATGGTTCTATGTAGACCATGTTATAGATTGTGGATGGAATATCTGTTCATTCACAAAGATGGCATTAGACCTTATTTGGCATTTAGAATTTAAAGCCATAGAATCCCTAGTGTAGAAACAGGCCATCCCCCTACCCTATTCCTGTAACGCAGCATTTCCCATGGCTAATGCACCTGAATTACATATCCCTGAACATTAAGGTCGATTGGCCATGCTGAATTACCCAAACGTGCACATCTTTTGACTGAGGGAGGAAATCCAAGCACCCAGAAGAAACCCACATGGACACGGGGAATGTGCAAACTCCATCCAGAGTCACCCAAGCATGGAACTGAATCTGGGTCCCTACTGCTGTGATTTCTGCATTATTCTCCTGAAAATAAAAAGTTGATCTGTAAACCCCTACTATCCAACATTTAAAATATCCTCTCTGCACCCCTCTTTTTACAGCCTATTATAAATGGCAAAAACTACATCCTTGTAAAAAGCAAAAGAATTGGGCACTTAAATACTCAATGTCAGAGTACATGATTTAAATTGCTGCAGTAATTAAATTCAAGCAAATTGAGATCATGTAGAATGTCAAATGCAACTAAATCTGCCAGATAATCATATCTATATGTCCAGTTAAAGTTTTCCCCAAATGCATGGGCTTGATATCAAAAGGGACTTTAAAATCTCACATTTTGGATTTCCTGGAATCTTGGGAACAAGATGTAAAAGTTTTAATATCTGTATATTTCCAGTACTATCAGAAAGCTGTACACAACACATTTAAGTTAACTGCATGCACATTTCATTTAAAATGCAAAATACTGACAATTCAAATGATGCAAATAACAGCAAATCCGTGCTCTCAAAATCACTGTTCATTTGACTGATTTCATTGAAACATCTAGTACTTTGAACACATCCGTAGGATAACAAACCTTTAATTCTGTTCCTAATGCAGCTTTGCACAACTTCAGGGTTGAAAATAATCCTTGAGTCAAGTATCTTGTAAACATATACTTGAAACAGCACTGATTTATCAAGTCTACATCTTTAGTCCTACTACTGGTATTTTGCTGAATTTGTAACTTCAGTAGTTTCCATCATATTGCTAAAAAGGGAAGGTTTACTGGGGCCAGGCACAACTCTATCCAGATAGTCATCCAAAACTGAAATTGAGATTTTCTTTGCTACTCTACTTTTACAGATTCTAATTAATCTTGGTATATGATTGAGCATTATTTGCATAAATCCATTATGCTGGCAGACCTTCAGATACAAGCTGCTTACACTGCAGTCTACCCACCTTCACCTATTAAAAGATTGCTCGGTAGTGAACAATTAATTTTTACACTTCTTTGCAACATTCTTAAGTGAAAAGTACTTAGCAGTTTACTTAACTTGACCTACTAGTAATCATGCTAAACATCCTTTGGGTTCCAAGAGGAAAAATAGTTTGGAATTTCCAAATGAAAGTTTCATCATTATAAAACCGAAGCACTAATCCAACAGTAGATCTAAAACTAACTGTACTAGTTTTTAAAAAATTTACGGTAACCAGTTCCAACCTTCAGCACACAGCACCACCATGTGGCTCAATTAGGTAATTCAGATACTTGTCAGTATTTAACTATTCCTGCTGTTTCCAAAAAGAATTAGTATACACACTATCTCTTAAGGTGCGCAGCAGTTAATGGAGGAATTTTAAATCTCAAACAATGAAAACCAAGGACTATTTTTAGACCATTAGCAACATAAATCTGAACATATACAAACTGAAGGATTTCTTCATAGGCATTCCAGTAAATAGAGAATCATACATTGTAAATAGAATTTTTGCTCCTTTTTCAAAGTTAATTACATAATTAAAAGAATTTAAAGTCACTCAGCCTTTTGGCCTTGCTCAATGTCAAATTGAGTATTTTGTCACCATCTTTCACATCGTTCTTAGAATGTGACATCCATTTGATAAATATGGAGTGAATTTGTAATAGGACAGATTCATTGGAGCACTCAAACCCATTTTCAAAACTAGCTTCCAGCATATTGTAGTAGTCTTGGAGGAGTCAAAGCAGGACCTATACAGAAGTTCTGACAACATGCTTCAATACCCCAAAAGGTGGTATTTCAACCTGCTAAGAAAACAAGTTTTTATACTCTGCTTACTTTGAATTTCCCTCATATCATGGAGCCTTGAGAATCCAGTTAATTCACCAGAACAGAAGTAGTTTTATTAAGTATGCAGGATAGTTTTTAGTGGGTTGTTAGAATTGTGACTACATTAGGCTGAAATAACTACAAATTCTGTCACAGTAATTAACAAATGGTTGTAGTTCTCTGTATATTGTGGAGGGAGTTAAAAATGAACTAAAAAGTAGTCCACTGAAATTCCTTTACCTTGAATTAATCTTAAAGAACAAGCTCAAAGTATACAAAATTCAATAGTACACAACTGTACAAATTACAAACTTCCTTAATTTGAAGGCCTTAGAGGATATTTCTTCTGAGATCTTGTCCTGCCCTGTGTTTGGTTTGTTTTCCTGGTAGCTGGTGACTCCACATTCCACTGACGCGGATGAGGAACTCTAAGGGAACAGATACATCATTTACAAAAACAGTGAGCAATGAATCAGTTTAAAAAAAAGTCTGGTAATTTGTTTTGTTCATGCTTTGTAAATATCATTCTTTAGCAGATTTAATTGTTGATCTATTTGAAAGGATAGAGTGATTACAAACAAACAAGGTTATCTTGTTTTTCTTTCATCCTGAGCAGACCAGAGTGTCCCCCTTTGCAACGTTCAATATGTTTTGCACTTATTTGTATGCAGAATGCTGTTGGCATTAATTAGCTGCAAGACAGGAGACCAGGAAGGAGTGTTTAAAGTGGTAGGAATTGTTAAAATAGATTTCCAGGGTAAGTCAAGAAATAATGTAAGTCAAAAAATAGCCTGTTTTTTTTAAACCACACTAGCAATGTTAACTACCATGAAGTAATGACTGCCAGTAATTTAAATTTAGCATCAAGTGCCAGACAGATTGACCAGCAGTAATAAATAGCTACATTAAATTTTTGTAGCCGTTTTGGTTCTTTAGAATGGCAGTTTAGTTCATACAGCCTGTCCTGTCAGCTGCTCTCGATTTTGTTTAATCTCATCATCCCTTATGTTGCTGCAGTATTTTCATATAAATATGCGTTAGCTCAGAGGAAGAAGTAGATATTGAAATATATTCCGTTGCTGTTAATATGGCATTGATAAGTTTATCTAAAAATGTTATGCCTTCAAAGTACAGTACTTCAAAGTGATAATATGGATTTTAATTCTTCACCTTTTGGAAAACATTCAAAGCCAAGATTTCTCATGCATATTATAAAGGGAACGTGAACATCTCACATCAATGGCTCAATACTGCATTCTTGTATTTAGTTACTTACGGTTTATCTGGAGACATTAGACACAGCATGCTTTTCTGCTCTTCCTGTGCGTGTTCCTTACCTGTTAGTATTTTAAAAAAAGGCTAATTATTTATTTCTCACTTAGTCTATAGACAGCAATATTGTAAAAGATTGCAACAATTACAGTTTAAATCTTCGCCACACTATCATGTTTAATTATTCCAAGGTGATTCATTGTGCACGTGCACTCAAGAACACCCAATATGACTAGTTTTTAATTTTATACAGAAGTTCAGCTTTCTTTCTAATCTATTGATGAAGAATTTTGCTGGTAGTATATAATTTAAAAATTCAGGTGTTACAAAATAGTGTTACAGCATTGTTCCTTTACATGTTTCTTACCACCTTATCCAAGGCCGATTTTCAGTTAAGTAAAATAAAAACTCTACATTTTACTTCCAAAACAGGACTTCCTAATTTGAAAAACAATTAGGAAGTACATTATTTGTTCATTTTTTTTGGAAAAACATTTTTCACAGCTTGTACCATTTGAAATATCATGTCATAAGCCACAGAACACAGTGTTTATCATGCTTTCACATTAAGTGGCTAGCAAACAAAGTATAAATACAAACCTGAAAAGTGTCTATTCAAAATACAGACCAACAAATTTATTTGAAAATCACAGTTACTCCTTCCAATGGTTTACATGCATTGAGATCCAGCCCTGTTTGGAAATAATCAGGTTAGCACATCCTGTTCTAGATATCAAAAGCCAAATTTCACAATCAGCAGCAAAGTGATGGCACTTCTTGCTGACTTCAAAGTTGTCCACCAAGATCTAGTGAGTACAGTGGCACTGATTTCACTTTATTGATGCTAATTTCATTCTGCTATTAGCTAAATGGTATCTTAGGTGTCCTGGAGGTGGTCAAATAGCTGTTGACATTGAAGAAATCTCAAGAAAATTAAGTTAATAGCACTTACTGTCCTTTATTGTTTTGCAGTTCTACAGAAAGCAAAATAATGGGTTTAAAGGTAGTAGCTGAAAATTGCTTTTCTGAAAATGGAGAATTTAATATTCCATCTAGGGCTAAAGTGGTTGTTCATTAGTACACCATTAAGAACCCAAATACTACCTATACTCATAATAAATTTATCGCATGCAAGAGTTGAGAAATTTGGTCCCAAAATCTTCAACCTTTCAGATACCTTGGCTTATTTTTGTTGTTGCCAATACTGCTCCCAGTCTAGTGAATCTTTGTCACACTTGTTCTTTTCTCATTTAAATCAAAAAAATTGGTACATAGCTGAATCAGATTATTCACTGCTAGATTCAGAACCATGACCAATAACCAGGTGTGTAATTGGCATTTCAAAAGACCCAACATGGGCTTTAATCTATTGAAAATATCACTGAGAAAAGGTCAACCTTCTACATGAATGTCTATGGTAATTCAATAAGATGCCCTTTGTTTCCAAAGGAGAGTAATAGATGAAAGTACAAGTTCATGT